TCAAGACATAGGAGACTGTTGGTTCTCTGAGCGGCCATATCCTGAAGGAACAAAATGGCTCCAATACCTCCTGTGGATTATGTCTGGGATTATTTTCTTTGGCGATAGTGGAGCAAGGGGAGACTCATCTGGAGTCTTAGATTTTCATGACAAAATATAGATTCCTGCTCTACTGGCAGTGCCATCTGTACTGATCATAGGATGCTCCAACTTGTGGACTCACTAGGAAGGGGTCCTGTTCTCCTCAAAGTGATGTTTTTGGGCACAGGGATGTCTCTATGGAAGACTGGGCCGGACACCAGAGAAGGCAGCGACTAGGAACATTCTCCTGTCAGGTAAAGATTTTGGTTCTGTTTAGCATTTGGGGAGCTCCTGAGGAGAGGTCTGTCCGAATTGGGGCATGCAATGGAGAGTTTGGAACCACTGACTGGCATCCAAGTGCAAAGTCAGAGCCTTCTTCCTTTGTGCTCTGCCTTCTTGAATGGCAGGTTTAGGTGAGGACTCACACGACTTGGACCAAGATAGGTAGAGAATCTAAGATCCTTTTTCTGAATGGGATCTGTCCTTATGCCCATGGCCATGTCCCTAACTCTCATGACAGGGTTTCCTTATGCTTAATAGTGTTAGCTCCTGCACCAGAGTTCATGCTTGGATAGGTGTTGCTCGCAGTCTGCGGGGGTCTCCCCAGACTGGATACAAATGAGTCCTCATGGCCTAGTCTTTCACTAGTTTGGAGGGGTGATAATGCCTTTGGTGAGGCAATAAAGACAGTTCTGGTGTTTTTTGCTGATGGAGAAGGAACACGGGCAGGAGACAGAGTTCTTGTACCATGGGACTCTTGGTATAATCCCTCTGTACAGGGAAAAGCTTCTTGGGGCATGCAGAACTAAGCTCCTAATTATAAAACAACACTAGACTATTAAGTCTAAACCAAAACAATTATTAAAATTGCTGTTACAGATATGAAAATAGAAAAATTGAAGCAAACACTTGTTGCTTAGGCGATGAGGCAGCAAGAAGAAACTCAAGAGATGTTGGTTTGCCCTGTCCTTTATACCTTCAGTTCGGAGCACGAGGACAATTCCTCTGCATGTGCAGACCAATGGACCCAGCCTATTAAAAATCTCCAGACGCAGGCACATTGTACACATGTGTATAATGTACATAGGGACCATCACTTGAGAAGAACCTGTGCTTTATGGACAGGTCAGCACTCTTCCAATATTGCATCTAGCCACATTGTGGTGGCAATGCAGTAGGGCTTCCTTCTTAACCCAGTACAGAACTACATGAACTAGCATGAGCTTCGATATCTTATTTGCCTACCTTGCAGGTATAAAATAAAGATTTTAAAACTAACTAATATTTGGAGTGGTCTCTGATGAGGTGCTATAAGAACTTGTCTATAATTATGAGAAGATTGAAGCTCCAGAGATTGATCTTTTGGGGTTTGATTTAGCAGGTCTAGTAAGGACCTGTTAAATCAAGCTCTGGTGGCGTCCCTGTCGACCCCGGTACTCCATGGGGTTGCGAGGAGTAAGGGAAGTTGATGGGGGAGTTTCTCCCGTTGACCTCCCACAGCAAGGTACACCAGAGAAATTCCATTTAAGGTAGTTGACTTCAGCTACACAATTCTCGTAGCTGCTGTTGCTTATCTTAAATTGAATTTATTGCATAGTGTAGACCTGGCCTTTGTGTCTAAGCATTTTGCTTGCACAGACACAAAGGCTACTAACGGAAATAAAATGGTCCCCAGCTTAAACAAAACAAAACACTATAGGCAGTCCCCGACTTACGCGGATCCGACTTATGTCGGATCCGCACTTACGAACGGGGCTTTCTCGCCCCGGAGGTCGAGGTGGCGGATTGCTACCTGCGAGCTCCGGGGCAAGAAAGCCCCGTTCGTAAGCTGCTCCGGTGCCCCTGGTCTGCTGGAGACCGTCTCCAGCAGACCAGGGGCACTGGGC